ACTAGAAAACTTTACAAAATATATATGCATACATGAGACCCCATGCAATCATAGTACCTTGTATTTAGCCACCACCTCCTCATTTGAATATATTCCAATTGCATCTCTCTCTCTCTCTCTCTCTCTCTCTCTCCCCCCCCTCTCTCTCTCACAACTAAAGGAGGATTTCCAAGTCGGTGCCATTTAGTGAAGGGTTAAGAATCCCATTGCTTTCTATGAGAGAAGAATAGGAGAGGAGATCAGTGAGCTTAAAAACAAATGTCTATAGAAGGGAAAACGCACCTATTCCTCCTCATATGCTAGTTCTTTGTTCTTGAATCTCTTCCAATTCTAGATCAAGTGAGATAGAGAGAGAGAAAGAAGAGAGAGAAGATAGAATGTTCCCTTCTAAGAAGCCAACTTTGAATTCTCATGAAAGGCCCATGTGTGTCCAAGGAGACTCTGGCCTTGTCCTCACCACTGACCCTAAGCCTCGCCTACGATGGACTGTTGAGCTCCATGATCGCTTCGTCGATGCAGTTACTCAGCTTGGAGGACCTGATAGTACAAACCCTAACTCTTCTCCTCCTATATGTCCTTCTCTGTCTTTCTTTCTTCTTATTGAAAATTTAATAACTTATAGAGCAAACCCTAACGCCTCCTTCTTGCTTCTTCTCCTCGTTTCTTTCTTCTTGTTCATAATTAATTTACTCAGTAATTTCAATTCTTTGTGCTTATTATTCTTCTCTTTTTCTTCTTCTCATTCTTAATTATTTAATTTGTGATCCAAATCTTAAATCTTCCTTCTTCTTCTATGTATATTAATTATGAAATAAATATCATTAAGAATGATTATTCGAACATTATATTTTGGTAAAATATTTACTTTTTATTTTTTTGATGGAGAATTATTGGATATCTAATTAACTGAACCTTTCTTATTTGCAGAGGCAACACCAAAGACCATCATGAGAGTCATGGGAGTTAAGGGTCTTACACTCTATCATCTTAAAAGTCATCTTCAGGTATCTTTTACTTAATGCAAATTATAAATTATGTTGTAGAATTGATCAATTTTATTTTTTCATCTCTCATCTTGATTTCCTCTCAAAAATTTCTCTATATAGAAATTCAGGCTTGGGAAGCAGCCACACAAGGAGTTCAGCGACCATTCAGTTAAGGATGGTGAGAGTTGAGGCGAGATATAAGAACAATAAGTTTATCTAATGATTTTGATTTTTTTCTCATAAAATTTATACATCTATTTTAGAAAAACTGATCTTATTGTTTTTAAACTTAATTCAGCTTCTGCGTTTGAGCTTCAGAGAAATGCTGCTTCTTCCTCGATGATGGGCCGCACCATGAATGAGTAAGTGATTTGCTGGAGGAATTATTCCATCAAAATTTAACCATGAGCACAAAATTTTATTATAAATTTCTCTTTCCATGGCATAAAATTTAATATTGGATATTTTGTTTTACAATTATTCAGTAGGAACGTTCACCTCTCAGAAGCCCTTAGGATGCAGATGGAAGTTCAAAGAAGATTACATGAACAACTAGAGGTGTGATGAAATACAAACATAAAAAAATTTATAGATGAAATATGAACATAAAAAATTTTATCTTACCTAAATTCTATTTCAAAACTTCAGTTAGTTTTTTTCAACTCAATTTACTAATTTTCATTCATTAGGTGCAAAAACATCTTCAGATGCGTATTGAGGCTCAAGGCAAGTATATGCAGTCCATACTCGAGAAAGCCTGTCAGACTCTCTCAAGCGACAACATGGGAGCTTCCGGAAGCTTCAAAGGCATCGGAAACCAAGATCTAGGATCGCCGATGAGCTTCCCTTCTCTCCAAGATCTTCACATATATAGTGGAGATCAACTTGATGGCTTCTTCCCAAATGATCAAACCCTAAGTCTAGGCAAGAAAAGGCCTAATCCATATAGTTCTAATGAAAAGAGCCCTATTGTTTGGGCCGATGACCTTCGCCTTCAAGAATTAGGGTCTGCAGAGCCATCTAAGAGTGATCAAGTACTTCAGCTTGATAGTGGCATTGATTTGGAGTCAATAGGTGATGTTTATGAAGCTAAACCAAATTTTTCAAGCGATGTTGGTGAGAAGAAGTTTGATGTATCGACAAAGCTTGAAAGGCCATCTCCAAGGAGAGCTCCTCCATCAATGGAAAGGATGAACCCTATGATGGGAAGTGGTGGTTTAAACCAAACAAGAAACTTGTCATATGGGTGAGCATTTGTTTCTTCGTGCAAGAAACTTAGACATATTTATTGAATAAGAGAGTGGGGTGT